AAAATGAAATAAATGAATAACATAGAATAATACTTCAGTAATATTATATAATTGAAATATAATAAATTAGAGTATGAAATATTAAATTTAGTTTCTTATTTTAGCTAACAAAAGGCTTAAACACATTTTGTTTTAAACTTTACAAGAACCATCCAGATCATAGGGTCTGATAAAACTAGAAGTCCCCTTAGTAGTTCAGCGTAAATAAGAGAGCTTACAACGCTAAAAGTCAGGTTTTGATACACGCGGTGGCCAAAGCACAGACAACCTATTGTTTAGCTTGGCACTTAACAACAAAGAAACAAACAAAATTTGAAAGGTGACAAAATGCCTAGTGAAGCTTAAGTGTATTATGATTTTTAGTATTTAAAGTTATTGTTATTTAGGAGTAAAAATTTGATTAAATATCAGTGTTAAATCTGTTCTTTGTTATGAATTATTGTAAAGAACGTTTGGTGATGGAAAGCTTAAACAAAGTGTTGTTGAAGTATATACTTTTCAATGTAAAACAATTCTAATATGTAAATATTTATGTTATATATATATAATTGTTTAATTGCACACGTTAATTATATGCTAATTATACTAAATTCAAGCTTCTTTCACACACAGCATATTGCATGCATTACAAACAAGGTTTATATTACTGAATTTTCATGCACCTCCCAACAGAAATCTTAGTATCGACACGCTATTAGTATCTAGTCCCTTCCTGTTGTGAGACTCAAAGGATACATCCACTCACGTTACAATAAAAGCAGTCTAATTTGAGTACTTTCCTAATTAGTACTTTCAATTGAAAGGCAGTGAATAAATTTCAGGTTTTTTTTTGCATACATTTTTAAGACTCTCACTTTTCCAGTTTTCAAATATAATGCCCAAATTTTGAATACTAGTAAATAAATCAGCAAGTGTCAATTGTTTGAATCTTATTATTCCCTCAATGATGTTATTCAACCAGCTTATGACAGTTTTCTCACATGCGATGTTGTCTGAGCTGTTGATTTTATAAAGTTTATAATGAAAGTTGTTCGTCAAAACGCTGTATTTCCCGTTTGTTTCTTGTTTTTGTCGGAAATTCATGTCTTTGAACTAAACCGAAAGTGCTGACCTATCCGTAAGGTTATAAACCTTCGGCAGTTGTGTTGGCAAGCTACCCACTAACTTTCTTCATTTTGTTAATTTACTAAGATGTTGGGTTGCTTCCTGAGAGTTTCACGTCTACTAAATACAGATCCCTATCGTAATGTGAGCTCACAAAAAAATTAACTTGCTCATATAGTTGCAACAATCTTTTTTGGGGTTAACTGATAACAAAAGGCAGCTAGACTGAGCGGAAACCCAAATATGTCTTCATTCGTCCATGATAGAATAATAATTCGATCTGCTTGTCACTCCATACACTTTGTTGTGCATCCAATAAAACAACAGTTTACTAAGAGACATTGGAGAATTCAGGTGTCGCATCATGCACAGAACTAGTTGCTGTTCATCAGCTTAGAAGTAACGAACAGCAAATCTGATTAACAGTTGCAGGAGAGACAGCCATAAAGCGTAAGCGCACTAGCTGTGCAGAGCCTTTTGCATGGACGAGACTATATTGGACAGATTGTTCGAAAGAACACATTGATAACATCAGTGAGAAACGACCGTACTTCTACTTTGGACTGGTGCAACTTGCTGATTGTTAACATCTCTTGCATGTTGACTATCCACGGTCTTCTCAGATGAGTTGAATTTCCACTTCTGGTTTTTTTGATGCACGTTGATTTGCAATATTTTTGTGAAAGCTTTTAACCGTTGTGTTAACAGTCATCTGTCAATCAGGAGTATTTCGGAGCCATAATTTGGGCAAGCATTTGGTGTAGTGGCAGAACCAGTCTTGCATTCAATCCTGCAGATTAACCTCTTACCTCTATTTGATCAAGGATATCAGGACCGTATAAGTCATGATCTGTAAGAGAACGGAGCAACGTGTCACACCTCCAAATCTATATCATCTAGATAGATATAAAATGGACCGAAACGACTACCTTGACCGCCACATAGCCCTTATTTGAAACATATAGGAGTACCTTGACAGGCAACTTGGAGCCAAACGATCACGACCAACAACAAGTACACGATTATCTGCTTATTTGTAGGCAAATTTGATTGATTTCATGTCTAGACAACTGCAAACCATACGAGATTCTGAAGGTGATTTCACTAGGTACTGGCTAGATTATGCACTTTACGATTAATCATTAGTAAATCTATGACCATTATAAATGTGTATACCATGGCCATTTAGGGTGTTAAAATTATTACGGCAAGGATTTTTGATATTCAGAAAGTTTTTTACAAGCATATTTTCAAAATGTTTATATCTTTATATTGTTCACAAAAGGGTATTTCACATTACAGACCAAACGTACGAGTTTCAGGATTTTCAGAAAATGTTTAAGCCACGGGTCATATCAATAGCCAATCAGAACTTGCGTCGCGATGAACATATTAACATCACATAATCATTTTCGAGAATGTATTTTTGCAACATTAAAATGTCTTTAAAAATAAATAAACATTAATATCTTAGCGAGTCACTTATTAAGTTCAAATAGTCAATTTATTCTACAAAAAATATTAAACTACAAAATAATATAACATCGTAAAATCAGTTAAACCTTAAATGAAAACAAAGAAGCAAAATTAACTTTACTTTTGGTTTTTGTAACGACGTAAGCTGTTATTCCTCTTTAGGGGGTCATTATTAGGCTTAAGAGAGCTTGGCAGTAAACTTTATGAGTGCGAGTGCCTCTGTGCTTTGAGTTTAATCTCTCTTAAAACAACTGGTAATTCCCTATGCATCAATAGATTTAAACTAGTACCAACGTTTTCCTATTGGATCATTCTATTTGTAATGGAACTAAAAAAATCCCACCATGCCATTGCATCACATGCTATAATTTGAAATATACGAAGAAATTGGTTTTCTTACAATAAACATAGACGGTTGGAATATCGTTAATGAACTAAATCATATAAATATGAATACACAAGATTAGAAAAATGTATGATGCTAATAGCAAATTTTTTCTTCTTTCTGAAATATTTATAAATGTATGTTCCTAAACTTAGCTATTTTAAGATAGTTTAGAACCGTCATTATTGATAGTATCACTTTGTGATTAAAACAGTTTTCTCACAGCAAATTTATCATGATTTTATTGTTATATATGTTTTACAGGGTGTCTCTGATTTTTAGCTATATCAACTTTAAGCTTTTCTTTATATATCGCCATCTCCCGATTAAAATCTAAGTTGTATTTGCAGACTCAACTAATATTTAGCTTTTTAGCCAGAATCCTTTCAACGTTTTAATTTGTGTAAATGAACTAAATAAGATTTTCGATTTTACTCTAGAAGGACTTCTTTTCCAAAAGTTCGAATATGAATCAAATTTTAAATGGGTGAATCCAGTCCAGCTGAAATTACAAAACTTTGGCTATAGATTAAAAAAAAACTTTCCCAACTGAGGCTCGCCAACTAGGCAGAATTAAATAGCACTTTATAAAGGTTAAGCTTTTTACAAATGTAAATTCTTTTATAAGTAAAATATGAACTTACAGGAGCCCATTGAGTCTATTTTTCTGTAGGACATTTGACGTATATTTTTGTTTATTTAGTTGCATGAAAGTTTGTAAAATAATTCATTTTTCATGCTCCTTATTCAATTTAACTCGACCTAGCGATGTTTTGTAAACTAAGAGAAACGAACGAAGTCCTTGGGAGAATATATGGATTATTTATCCCCGAACCAAAACATTTTCAATTCATAAAGTGAAACTATCAATAATATTCTAACACAGTACAGTTTAGCGACACCAAATGAAGTAAAAATAAGTCAAAAATCACATTAGAGCACATTTGACCAAACCTTTAAAAGTGTTTAATTATGCTACCTGCCAAAATCTACCATTTTTCAAATCCTGTACATATTACTCGCGATAAAGTTGAGATTATGCACATTTAGGGATTTCACCCACAAATGCTTCAGTTTTTTCAGTTGCCTAATTCTAAGTATGTGATATAAATAATGATCGAGTTAAACTAGTAACAGTAAGGAAGTCTTCATTACGGCTGGATTTACAGGTAATCTGTAATTAATAAAGGATAACTGAAAACAGATAAATTGTATATGGATCATTTATTGAGACTAATCAAATTAAATTGGTACCAGAAGGTGGATTAAATCTCATTTTTGAAGCAATTCCTTGTTTCCAATGATCATTTAAATAACATGTGATATAAGAGCTTACTCAGGAAATAAAATTACAATTCAATATTAGTCTAAAACAATTAGTGTTTTCTTGTAAGTACAGCAAGCAGGAAAGAGTAAACGAGTAAATATGTCATACACAGATGTAGTGCGATCAGCCTTAAATCTGAACGTTATCAATGGCCTGTATCACTTTTAAATTAATCGATAAGGCACTCGCAGTGGCTCAGCCGTAGATTTGAAGGCTCATAAGGTTAGAATCCGTGATTCCATCTCTGTTACGGGCAGAGTGTAGATAGCCCATTGTGATACTTTGCACTCAAACAAAACATTCAAGACAATGCTCGCAATTTTAATTTTTCGTGTTGTTTTTGTTCTTCTATTTGCAGTCAGATAATGCAAAATAGTTTGAGAAACAATATTCTTCTAACACCAATACTCGTAGTTGTAATGAGAGTGGGGAGTATCTTTCATTTGCCGAAGTAAAAATTCATCATAATATGACTGTAAATCACTAAAAATTTTCTGCTCTGGTTTATGATACAATTATATAAAGAAATGATTACCACAGAATACTAATAAAACAAAGACTTTTTCACCTTCCTTAATATTACACATTACAATTGTGGCGCCTACAGTAACCAACTATATTATTGTAGTGAAGATTAGATTAAAAATAATGTTTAGCCCATTTATTATATATGAACTTAAAAACTTCGCTTAAGTTTATTTCCTGAATTTAAAGATATATACAACTTGCAAAAAACTAATTCATTTAAAGATAGGCCTTATATATAAATGATATCACTGAAATAGAGATAGGCCTAAATATATAAATCAAATAACCGATGATATCACTGATTTTTTTTAATGTCTAATGTTGTTGTTTGTTATTTAGCACAAAGCTAAACAAAGGGCTATCTGTGCTCTGCCCACCAAGAGTATTGAAACCCGGTTTCTAGCGGTATAAGTCCGCAGACATACCTCATGTCTAATCAAACACTTGGATAATAAAAGCAAGACACCTAAAGCTATTCTCCTTTCCGTGCATTGAAAAACAAAAAACTCATTACGGAAATTGACTCACCTCTTAATCCTACGTTTATTGATCTTGTTTATTATATGTTTTATCAATGACGAATTAAAAAACGTTGTATTCATGTACTGCATGATAACACCCACGTTACCGCAATATTTACTCTAGTTTGTTTGTTTGTAATTAAGCACAAAGCTACACAATGGGCTATCTGTGCTCTGCCCACCATAGGTATCGAAACCCGGATTCTAGCGTTGTAAGTCCGCAGACATACCGCTGTGCCACTGGGGGGAATTTACTGTAGACTTCTTGTTATAGATATATTAATATTATCTTTATATTTTAAAAGTTGTGGAAACTTTTCGTGTTCTTGGAGGTACTCCTTACATGTAAGTATATACGACTTTTCTCTCCCTTCGCCGAGTATATCTTTGGCAACTTTTAACTATAACAAAAACTACTAGCAAACTTCTACTAATAAAAGTATTATACCAATTTAAGTGTAATGAATTTAAAACAAAAAACATAGCGCACAAAGTCACACATTCATAACTTTCGGTTATCTAGAAGTATCACTGTCTCCTTATGTGTGTATTTCAGGAGGTTTTGATAACGTGGAAATTTTAAGGTATAAATCTTGTAGCTTCTGATGAAACCTTCAACAATATTCTCCAACCTTTTTATTGTTATATTGTTTCAAAATGTCGTTCAACCAACAACAAAATAATAAAATTCCAGTAGAAAGAGATAAACATCACTAATGTTTGCCATATTTTTATACGTTGAAAGTAAAAATTTCTCAGACAACTTACCAAATACAAACACAAAGCCAAAAATCGCATAAATGGTCGAATACATGGTCAAGCTGAGTCAGTAATTAAAATATTAGCTTCCACATTAATAGTGTTTACGAATTTTAAAAATTAGCCGACACTGATAACTCACGGCTTTCAGTGATCCACCACTCTTACTTCACGAGGGATTAACCTTTGCTAGGGAGTAGTGTTCAGATACGTAGAAAGAGTGAGAGAGGATTGGACTTTAGCACCACCAATGGCAGATGTATGAACTAAACACGAACATAGCAATAACGATATTCTCACCTCTATCCCTTGCTGTCTTGTTCTGATTACATTAATCAATAAACACCAAACAAATGTTTTCTAGAGATTCTAATTCAATCAACAAATAAATTATAATAAAGTTGTCTTATCATTATTCGTCAAAAAAGTAGACCTGCTAGAAAAGATTGAATTTAGTTGTTGTTGTTGCTTTTAAAAAAAAACTTGCTAAGGGAAACATGTGAACTGTCTCATGAGAGCAGTTATGCTTCAGACTAACACAACCACATCATAATTTAAATAGTAAATACCCTTTACTTTTATCTTTTCACCTTACTGAATTCTTTTTGTTTTGATTTCGGTTCACGCTACCAATTATTCCATGAAAATTGCTGTTATATGGTTTTAAGTTACTTTTCATCGCGGATAATTCTGACACTATAGTTTTAGTCATTACCAAACTTCCTGTATTTAATGCAAATGAAATATTACACTCCCTCTTATTATTACCAGATTTTAAAGGTCTTATGAATCTATTAATGTAAATAAAAAGTGTTGTCTGTGTATCCGCTTTACATGCTCATACTTTTTGGCTGATCTCAACCAAACCTGGCATATACCATTAAAGCCTACCAGTAGTGATACATTGGTCGGCCTTCGGACTTAACTCCCTTGTGTTATCTTTTTATTACACCATGCTATTCTATTGAGCTTTACCAAATTTTAAGCTCATCTTTAGGGCACCCCAGGGTGCGAGATAGTGGAGGGAGGGGTTGTCGTTCGGATCTAAACCTTAATCTCCATCCCTGAGGGACTCTGTCTGTCTGGGTAACCACTTTACACACCTATAGTTTTTGTCTGATCTCAACCAAACATGTCATGCACCCTAGGACCTTAGCCCCTCTCCTCTCCGGGTTACCTCCCTTCTATACTATTATATTGTTTTCTATAATGCTTCGAAGGCATCCTTATGGTACCCCAGGGAGTGTCATTTTGAGTTCGCTGTTTATATCACCCCCTCTCATGTCACTCCCTGGTGGCTCATATGTCTTTCCCCTGCGTTCTAATAAAATTCCAGTGCTTTTAACATAATGAAATACGAAAACTGTATAAAAAATTCAATCAAGAAATGTGAACATTCAACATAAAATATTTTTTGCTTGTTTATGGCAGAGCTATGAAAAATATCTGCCGCCGTCTCTAATTCTGAGCTGCCAACTATAGAGAAGGCAACTAGCTGGCAGAACCCCCGTATCATTATAACATCCTCATGGCTGAGAGAATGTATAAGTTCGGCGCCTTGTTTTGACCCCGTGGCTCACACGTTGCGAATCGAGAGCTCTTACCAGCAGAACATGCCAACCCCATCATAAAAGATAGAGTAGAGCATAGATAATCAGTAACTGTAAATTATTATGTCACATAAAGTTAGATCGAGCGAAGTCTATTGGTTAGGTTGCCGGAGTGTCAATTCGACGGTATACGCCCCCAGTGCTACAACGGAATGTCTGCGGATTTACAACGCTAGAAACCGGGTTTCAATACCCGTGGTGGGCAGTGCACAGATAGCCCATTATGTAGCTTTGTGCTTAATTACAAACAAACAAAAATCAAGAGTCATAGTTGATGTCCAATTACCACAAAAGATTCTAGCTTCGCACTTTAGGGCCATGTCAAATCCCACTATTCAATTAGAGTCATTCTTCCAACACGGGGTCGGTCGATTTGACCGAGTCATGTGACCTTCTGTACTCGTTTAAAGTTGACATAAATGTAATACTTATAACTCTATATATATTGGGTATATCTTCACGAAATTTAGCAGTCTTTCAGTTAATATTACAAGTCTTTCACATACCAAAAGTCATATTTCTTAGTGAGTTACTTTTACTAAAATAAAATAAAGTTTTGTCCATGAATATATTGAGTACTTGTTTTGAATAGTCCGTGTGCAAAGTAGTTTTCGTATTAAAATTAAAAATACTTTACATCATCTCAAAAATTTAAAATTTCCTTTGTGTAATCCCTTAAACCTCCTAAATGCATTTCAAACGTTTTTTTTTTCACTAAATCCTTATAGTTTATATGTTACTTTATCTACCCTAATTTCAAAACTGGATCGGTCAATTCGACCGACCTCGTAACCACCAAAAAATCAAAATAAACTTAAATTAACCTTCTTTTCTTTCTAGTATGACTTCAGATTATAACCTGAAACAACATTTGTTTATTTTAGGTAGCTCTATTTCCATATCATTATACATCTATTTATAATCAAATTTTATTGTTTTATTGCCCTTTGAACCGTGTCTGTTATCAGTGCCATTATAAGTTGTAAATCACTTGAGAAACGTGCAGCTAACGTTACGCTATCGAATTACATTACCAACGAACTGCTGAGCTGCTGGTTGCATGCTTCTTGAACAATTTTAATTATATTATTATTATTACTTATTTTACCTATTCTAGTTTTTAATAACTTAAAAAGATCGTACTTTTAATTTTAGTTACTTTTATAACAATAAATAAAAAAATAAATATGAAAAACAAGAAGTAAAGTACTTACCAAATCTTATTTTTTCTTGCCCTCGATTGTCTAGTAGAGTTAAGCCTGATTTTTTTTAGCGATTATGGTAAAGCACTTAACAATTTTCATTTACTTAAATAATATACCAAAGAATATAGACTAATAACATTAAAAAGTAGACAAATTCACTTACTTCTAAAAATTTCCCTGGCTTTCTAACTATGAGACAAGAGCCTTTACAAATTCATTTAAGCTAGTCGTTAACTTTCCACCGGAACGAAATTGCTACTCTCAGTGACATTGACCGTTATCTGTTCAGAATACAATGTTATACAAACGCCATTTGATAGATGAAACCTATTGGTTATAAATAATATATAATAAAACCTAAGAGAGAACTACCAACCAATTGTGAAAGAGAGAATGTGACAGGTGGGTGCGGCAGGAGGGGTCCGATTTTCTCTTTGATAGCTCTGTAACAAAACAAAATTGAAAATCATAATAATTATGGTCTGTTTGAGCAATAACGATTTTATAGAGAGCATTTTACGTTTAATTCCGTACATTTTCGAGGGGTGATGGATAAAATGGAGATGATGACATGGTAAGACAAATTTGTCATGTGTGGTACACTAGTGGAAATTCATGATTTTTTAAAATATTTCCTTTTAGAATTAAGAGCTTAAACTTGTATACTATTAACATATGGATAATTAGCTAAGATTTTATGCTATTGTAATTGGCATAACATAAACAAAAAGTAGTTTAATAAAATTTTGAATGTAAGACACGAAAACCTTGTTTCATGCTCAGTAAAGGGTACCCGTGCAGAAAGAGTAAGGTGCCTTTTGCCCGAACGTTCTATTAGGGTTTTGTGCAATGCATTGCGACCCCTATTATAAACCACTATCGTGGTTCATGATAACACGGGAATTACAATAAAGTTTAATTAATTTATTACCTAAGGCATTTAGTTGAAATTGATTTCGTTTTATAATACAAAAATATCGTAATGATCTTATTTCTTGCACAACTGCAATTTTTCAGCGCGAGGTGTAAGTTTTGACATTAATTTCGCAAATGGTCAAAACTGATTTTATTGAAGTATTAAGACTACCTTGTAATATCTTTACTTAAAAAAGACCTTAATTTGTCTTAATGTAAAATATTCTCATCTACATAGGGTCTTTAGAAGGCTTAGACCGTACTTGAATTTAGTGTATGATCCATGTACAGCTTTCAGCAGGCTTAAACCATAACTCGATTTTATTGTACAATATATTCATTTACACCCAGCTTTCAGCAGACTTAGACCTTAATTAAATTGTTTTTTAGTGTACGATCTATTCGATCATATAGGGCCTTTGACAGTCTCAAACAGTAACTTTTTTAGCTTATAATCTATTCATTCACATAGGGGCTACAACAGGTTTAGACTGTAACTTGATTTTAGTGTACAATCTGTTCATCCACCTACGTCTTTCAGCAAGCTTATACCGTAACTTGTTTTTGATGTACAATTTATTCATAAATGCTGACTGAATCATATCTACGTTTGTCAGTAAGAAAGAAACATGAGCAATAACATTTTATGCCAAAGTAATGGTTTTTAATCTATTATTCACAGTGTTTTTAATTCAATTCAAAAACAACAACAATAAGTTGGATTAAAATAGAGCTTTGTAATTATATTTCTTCTAAATACTGTACAGCTCATGATGACTGGACTGGAACCACTGTTTGTGAGAATATAGAAAGTAAAATTATGTTTGTCTTTAATCTAGTCTTTACTGAAAACAAGATAACTGGCTGGGAAACTGTAACGAATTGGTTGTTATGTATTTATTTTAATATCAACTTTGTTACATTAAGTTTATATTTAGAAACATGTATAACCTATAGTGTTAGATATGTATTGCGAAATTCCCGCCTATTCTCCAAAGTGGTAGAGAGTACGAATCAACAATATCTCTATATACGTAAACATTGAAATATAGCTCAGTATTGTTATGTAATCTGATTTTTTTAGAAAACCTTCCCACGCCTATAAATACAACCAACGCGCCGCGCCTAAAAGAGCGTGTCTATTAATAGCTCGCTATAATCAGTGTGCTATAAACTTCGAAAGCTATAACTGTGATTTTTATAACGCTTATCAATCAGAAAACTTAAGATATTTGACCAGGAATATTCATAAATTTCGAACATTACAAATCGTTCAACTTCAGAGGATTCGCATCGGACATTAGTATTTTTATGAAAACATTACTTAACTTCAACGGACCAACAATTCAGTGTGTGTGTGGCAAAAGACAAAGCTAGCTTCCCGGCTAATCGTATCTACATCGA